TCCTTCAACAGAACGACGAAATCAATCAGTCTGCTTGTGACCTGGCAAAGGGCGTGGCACAAGAGGGAGGGGTGTTTGCAGCAGGGTCCATCTGTCAAACAGCAAAGCTTTACGTAAATGGTGCCGGTAAAGAAAAAATACAGAAAAGATTCGAGGAACAGATCCAAATATTTCTAAAGAATGACATGGATCTTCTGATCGCCGAGGTAGGCATTCTTTTAACATCGATGTTGTCTTGTGTGTGTTTGTGAGCTCTGACATGGTCACACTGTTGCATTTATTTATTACTTTCTTCTAAGTTCTTTGAGTATGGCGAAGAAGCTGAATGGGTCGTAGAAGTGATGAAAACCACAGGTAAACCAACTGCCATTACGATGTGCATCGGACCACAGGGAGACTTTGCTAATGTGTCACCAGGAGAGTGCGCAGTGAGACTGGCAAGAGCAGGTAACATGAGACATTGTACTGTGGCTAAGGGGTTATAATCACTTTCTGTGGTTTATATTACCGCCAGAATGTAGCCGCACTGTATTGGTTTATTCCTGCAATGAGATTAATTGACAGATAGTCAAGGAGCTGGACTCGGCCCTCGGTGGTTCCGATCCCATGGGCCCGTGCGAACCGTCAACGTAACTCAGGGTTGAAATGTAAGAAGAAATCCGATAGTGAAATTCTAGGGAAGGGAGGGGAGTAGTTTGCAATGAATTAGCATCCCATTTTTGGGACGAATAAGGTTTGGGACGGGGTGACAAAAGTAAGATCTTATTTCATGGAGAATATATTCCTTCTTTCAGAAATTCCCAATTTGTTCCTCTCTTTAAATCTTCTATTCCTTTCCTATTAATTTTCGATATAAATTGACATCTTCAAGGGCTGGTGCGTTTTCCAACCGAAACAATATCAGTTACTGTGGTTTTGGGTTGATAAATGCATGATATTATAAGGGTGGATTGAAATACATTTCTCTCTCTTTCCTCGATGTCAGGTGCTGATATCGTCGGAGTAAATTGTAAGTTCGATCCCACTACTTCCATAAAAACTCTCATTCTAATGAAAGAAGCTCTGGATAAAGAAGGACTCAGTCCTCATCTGATGATCCAACCTGTTGGTTACCACACTCCAGACGCCGGAAGAGCTGGATTTGCTAGTTTACCTGAGCTACCATTTGGTAAGAAATTCATCTCAAAATCTTGGCTGTGTGTATACCTTATACTAAGGCACGTTATCATTGGTTATTTGATTTAGACCGCTTGTTCTGATTTGCTGGTTCGCTTTTTATTGCGAATTCTGATCGGTCGGTTTTTTCGACTTTGATGGATACATAAATTGAGGAAACATTCTTGCTATTCAGAAGAGAGATATCTAACTCGCATACAGCAACGTTTTCCTTTTACTTCTCTTTAATTTAGCTCTGGAGCCTCGTACACTTACCAGATGGGACGCACATAAATACGCCCGGCAAGCCTATGACATGGGGGTGAGGTTCATCGGCGGCTGCTGTGGATTCGAACCATATCACATCCGGGCTATCGCAGAGGAGGTACGGGAATTTTTTAATGATATTTTTCGTAATAGCAAAAGACATAAGAAAATGTTATCGAAAGCCATGTCCATAATCTTGCCTCGGCTTGCTCGTGCCAGTTGTAAGGGTTACATAACTTACAGAGATGTGATTTAAGAATCGAGGGTAGACCTGTCCAAGCTTATCCCTTGAAGAAAATTCTTGTCAAATTTTTTGAATTTTTTCTTTATTTATTCATTTTCAGCTCTCTCCAGAACGCGGTTTTCTTCCTGTTGCAAGTGAAAAACACGAACCGTGGGGGGGAGGGTATAAAAATCACCCGAAAGAATGGATGGGACGAAGGTAAAACTCCTCACGCATATTTTAGTAATAACTACCGCTGACTATAGTCAAGTTTATAGTTTTTGTTATTTGCGCTGTTTATTTTGGTAAGGTCCCGTAAAAGACGGGAGAGATGACATAAGAGCTATTTCGGAGACGTGGCGACCCAGGGTTACGCTGGAATCCTGGTCGAGAGGTCCTGCTTCTAGCTTTAAAAAAAGGGCGTTGTGTTATGTTCTTGAGCCTATCACTTTGTCGTCGCTGTGGCTTTCCATGCCCTGGGGTTTATAATGGTAATAGGAGCGAGTGGTAGTGATTCGTTCGCGGTTGTCCGATTTTGTTAATCACTTGTATGATTAGATACGATTACATACCGAATTCCTGTTGCCAATTCATCAAGACTTTGATAAAATTTAAGGCTGAAACTAGACATCGGGTATACGTTTTCATAAAAAAAAAAACAACAGTTAACTTGGTGAAATGCGAGACAACAGTGCGCACACATGACGCGTTCTGTCCAGTTACACCGGCATGACATGTTAACTGTCCCTTTTATTGTCCTATTTCACTGTTCAATTACAAGCATGAAGCGTAAACTGCCCTACTGGTGTCAAATCGGGCTGGTAATAACCAATGACGCCCGAGAATTTTGTTAACGTTTTGATTAAAATGGGCATTAGTGTGATGTCAAGCGTACTTTAAGTACTTCTCTGCTATCTAGGGACAACTACTTGATGCTAACAACGTACACTTTTGTACCCAGGGCTAACCGCGCTTATTGGGAAAATCTGGAACCTGCTAGTGGTCGTCCTTACTCTCCCGCGGTCTCAAAGTTTGACGGACCTGCTTAATGAAGTCACAGTCGAATATAAATTTCACTTGCTAAAAGAAATTTTAGTTTAGCAACTTGTATTCGTACTCACATAGAAAAATCCAACAAAAAGGAAATTTTAAGATATTATTTCTGACCATTCGCTATCTTGTAACTATACTGAAAGTTAACATAGACAAATGAAGCCTCTTGCTTATGGGGAACCATTTGTGCCAGAATTATCAATCGCTTGTTGTAAAACTCAGTCGTTAGAGCTAGCAACAAATCGTGATTGTAAATAAATTTTAGTTTTCATTCTAAAATGATCAATCGTTAGCGCTAAACCTCAATCGCTTGTGTTGTTGCACCAAACGCCATTGTAAGACTCCAATTAAAAGCGCTAATTATAAATCGCTGTTGTTCTGAGACAGATCGATAGTACTAAATATCGATCATAGGTTTTAGTGTCAAACGATAGAGTAAAAACTTTATGGCTTGTGTTATTTTTGACTCTTTAACTCCTAAGAGTGACTAGGAACTAATTTCTCCTCACCATATCACCCCAGAATTAAACATTAAGGTCACGAGAATTAAGGAAGTGATCATCAACTAAAGAAGCTCTTGATTGTTAGACAAATTCTCCTCGTCAGGACCTTAGGAAATGTTTAGAGAACAGTATGGAGAATATGCATACTGATGTTAGAGTGTAAAGGGTTAAAATACAGCCATCGTAACGATGTCAATCGACGTTGCCACCCATCGTTTGTGATAAAAAGAAATCGCTACCGCAAAACATCATCTTCCTTTTAACCCTTTAACTCCCATGAGTGACCAAGACAGAATTTCTCATTACAATATCAATACAATATCAAGGAGACAAGTGATGAGAATGAAGAAAAATATCAATTAGGAGATTATAAGTTGACACAATACCAAATTCTCCAAACTAGCATCACAAGAATTGTATGACAGACAGTAAGGAGAATTAATAATGAGATCTTGGGAGTTAAAAGGTTAATTTATTCACGCGAAGGAGTCTTGAACATTGTTGATCCTAGCTGTATGCAGGACGCGAGTCACATATGAACCATGTAATGGTCTGACTCATAATAGAATTCATTAAAGGATAGATATCCCTCTCATCCCACCTTTCTTGAAACTCTAGAAACTAAATGTAGTCCCAAAGCTAGTCTCTTACCCGGACCCTCCACGGCTAGGCGGTCGTTATTTCAGTCACAGTTACAAGGTGGAATCTGGGTACGAGATCATCCCAAAACCTTAAGAGGTACCAAACGCTGTGATTGCACCTTTGTTCCCTCGCCGAACCAATTCTTTCTAAATTAAAATTTGTTGTGAGGCGACCAGCTAGTTGCAGCCTGGAAGGTAGAATGGTTCCTAGGGCTCTTCTCCCCGGGAATGAGAGGTATACATACCATCCTTAGGAGAGTGGAGACTAAACTCTCCCTGACTGTTAACGCATATTTTGAAGTGAACATAATAGGAACCCAAGAATCTTTTCATAAGCTGGCCCTATTAAGGTTACGAAAGCTAGATCTTTCGACGGAACAGTACTAGCGCATGGGACATGAGGTGGACTGGCGATGGACTCGGATGAAAATTGCCCCCTGTTGCCCTGTAAGGAGGTAAAAAGCGAAATACGAGTTGTAATAGACCAGTTTCTGTTATAAGAAAAACCAGAATTAAAGTAATCATTCTAGCAAACAAGTTATCGAAGAAGAAACGCTTTTTCAACTATGCAATGTGATACCGAGCTTTCTCATAGGTGAAAAGGAACGGAGGGGGGGTAGGGATTCGAAGCGCTTGTTCCCTCCCTTCCCATTTTATAAACAATTTGTCATCTTTTTTTTTCTTTATTTATGTATTGTAAATCGTTTTTTTCTACGATTATAAATTCTTTGTACTCAGATTCTTAAAAAACTGGCCCGCCTAGACTAGCATTGGCTAACCGAAAGCCAGGAGAAAATTGGCACTCGTCCTAAGCAAATTTGTACTGATGATGTAGAAAGCTTCATCCAATTACACTCGTCACGCAACGGACCAATGACTAAGCAACACAAAAGATACCGTACTCTCTCGCTCTAGGTGTTGTCCATGAATTCACCTCTCGACTTTTCAAGACGTTCTTAGAGGAAAGAAGGCTTGATCAGTTCTTTTTAATCAAAGTTTTGGAATGTCAACTACTGGAAAGGTGAGTGTCATATTGTAGCTATGCAAATTTTTTCTAATGCAACCAGTCGCAGTGTCAAATACACCGCAACCAGGCATGGCGCAGCAGTCAGAAATTTTTACAGAATTTCCACTGAAATGTTCTTTCAAGCCTCTTAAGAATATCAAGTGATTGTTTAAAAATGTCAAGCGATTCCAAAAATCAATCTAGTTTTCAGTGCATACCGTAAAAACCGCTAGGTCGTCGACCTGACCGAGCGATCGATCATAAGACACAAGCTCGAAAAATTTGTCAACTAAAAACCATCCAAATTTTCGGAATTGCTGGGCATTTCTAGCTAAACATCGAGCACTCTTATGAGATTTGCTTGAGATTTTCACTGAAAATTCGGTGAATATTTCTGACTGTCGGGCACGGTCTCAAATACACCAAATGCTAATCACTTTTCACATCACTTTCGTTAGGTATTTGCATTTACAAATCGTCACGCAAAGTTCTTCCGTTGCGTGACTTTTGAGAAACCTTTACTCTTAAACTTTCTTTGCAAGAAACAGTCTTTTTTTTCTGGGTTACATGCCCATATGATGCTTTTGTTTCATCAAATAACCACTAAAATCGAAGTTATCGAAGTTAGGCAGGAAATTTCAAATTTTCCATACCATATAGCTGTAACTTCTTTTAACTTTATCATTATGAAATTTTACAATTAATCAAACAGTTCGTTAACAAATGATAACTCACCAAGTGAAGCCTAACTTCTAGAGGTTAAATTCAAGGGTTGACCTAGTTAAGAAAAAATGCCTTGGATATCGTTGTTGCTGATTTTCATTGTGATTTTCTATTCTGTTTGAGACTGGTATTTTAGAGCGCCTTAACGCTGGTGAGGTTTTAGTCGGAGATGGAGGGATGACATATGCCTTGGAAAAACGAGGATATGTAAAAGCAGGACCTTGGACACCGGAATGCAACGTGGAACATCCCGACGGAGGTCAGTTTTTTTTTTTTTAATTTGAGGACTATTAGTGCTTCGATCGCTACTTATTATTAGTGCCTGACCTCCGGCAAACCTCGATCTTCTCGATTCGTCTCAAATCCTGCAGCGCTAAAATGATGGGGCGAAATGGGGGCCTGCTCGTAGGCGACGTTGGCTGAAAAAGTTCCTTCACCGTCCCTTGTTTTCTTCGTTCATTTCGTTAGTCCTGCATAAAATACTTATTTTCAATCTTTGTTCTCTTCATTTTTCTTAACAATCCCTTTTCTCATCCTCGATAATTATATTTTGTAGTTCGCCAGCTGCATCGTGAGTTTCTTCGAGCGGGAGCTGACGTCATTCAAGGTTTCACATTCTCTATGGACGATGACTTGGGAGGAGACCATGCCAAATATGGGGTGAGGTGATAAATTTTTCGCGAAAACGAGGCGGGCTGTTCTTTAGAAAGACTAATATTTTGTTAGGGTGAACGCCTTCTGAGAGCCGGTGATGGAAACCGGTACCGAGTGTGATTGACGGGTGATTCTTGTGGAGAGCGAGCATATGGAGAGAGTTACTGTTTTTGTGAGCGCTTGGGTTGCATGCTTGTGATGCGATAAACGAGATTTTTCCGTTTTGGATATTTCTTTTACGGGGGCATTTCCAAAATGAATGGAAATCAAACCGGATATTGGTTGGCGAACTCTTTCCTTCCAATTTCCCTTTTTTTGCGAAGTAAAAAAACTCCCATCTCATTAATTCTCTTAGAAAATGTATTTCCTGTTACCCAGGGGTGACTATGTGTTTGTTCAATCGCACAATGAGCCTCTGTAAATATGTAAATATGTTAATGTTGCACAATAGTCGATATGTTAGGATTTATTTGAGAATGAACGGTCGCTTAGCAATTTGAACTAGTTTGCTTTCGTGTTTGTTACTATGAATCTTGTGAGTTTTCTGGGCTGATTTATGGCTATTAAGCTCGTTTTTAGTTACCCTGTTTTACCCTTAAAAGAGGGCAGATTTCTGGGTTTAGCATGCGACCCTTTATTACTACACAAAAATATTTAAGTTTCGTCAGTTTTGAGACATAAACATATTTACAGAGGCTCATTGTGCGCACTTTTGGGCTGCTTGGGGTCTGTTTTAACAGCTGAGATTGTACGCAGCTCTGATAGGTCACATTCCTTTGTTTATTCTTTACTGTTAATTCTAGAGTAATTTTCAAAAATTATAGACCGTTGATATCTTGGGTTATGGTTTACAGCCTTTCCTCGTGTTCTCTCAGAATCTCGCGAGGAATAGCACAATGGTAAGCCAATGTTAAATACGGTCCGTTTATCTAGACCATTTTTAAGATCAATCATCGAACTCTCTTTCAGACCCAGAGAATAAACCAAGCGGCGTGCGACCTTGCCAAGGGCGTGGCACAAGAAGGAGGGGTGTACTTTGCAGGTTGTATATGTCAGACTGCTTTCTTGTATCAGAAAGGTGCTGGAAAAGATGTTGTAATGAAGAAGTTTAGAGATGAAATCGAGATTTTCGTTCAGAATGATGCGGATATTCTCATTGGCGAGGTAAGATTTCCAGCCTCCTCTCTCTACCTTTCGTTTCAACGCTAGTTCTAGTGATTATTTGCCCTGCCTGCTGTACTGGCTGTGCATGTTTATGTGTTCGTTAATTTAACTTTTAACTTGTAATTGCATGATAATTTTATCTTTTAGCTTAATGTAACTCAGTAATACCCGCCTAGATTAGCCCATGTTGTATTTGTGTAATTTGTAATATTAGAGTCTGTCTCGCAAGAAACTAGCAGTCGTAAGATTTCTAACCAAGTCACATTTTTGAGACTATAAAAGGCTAAAAGTAACTAGGATATCTTTTGAAGTGACTGGTATCTAATCATTACCCCTAAATCAAACATAAAGGTCAGGAGAATAAAGGAACTGATCACGTACTAAAGAATCTCTTGATTGTTAGACAAATTCTCCTTATCAGTACCTTAGGAAATGTCTAGAGAACAGTATAGAGAATATGCTTACTGATGTTATTGTATATAGGGTTAAAGAAATGATCAGGACTTAGGCATTAGCTGCTATCTTTAAGCTTTGCGTCTGGATTTCATGTTGAGATTCTCTCTCGTACCAGCTTTTGATTACCTTGTCATTTGGCAAATCTCTTAAGAAAGTGCCCTTCCTTTTCAGTTCTTTGCTAATGTAGAAGAAGCGGCATGGGCAGTAGAGGTGATGACGTCCACAGGAAAACCAGTAGCCATTACCATGCAAATTGGACCACAGGGTGACATGCAGAATGTACCGTCAGGCGAATGTGCAGTGAGGCTGGCAAGGGCTGGTATGGCGTGATATGATGTGACGTCGCTTGCAATGACACAGTGTGACATGACATGATGCGACAGGACTTGACGTGACACAGTGTGACATGACATATACTGACATTGAATATAGGGGGTAAGTTTCTGCAGAAACTGTGGTGCCATGTCGGTTGGGGAGTATAAGAAGATGATTTGGCTTTATCAAATGGGTTTATAATGTACATTGGTCACTGTAGAGAGTGTTCTAAAGCTAACGTTTCGAGCGTTAGCCCCTTGTCAAAGCGAAATATACTGACATTGATTGACACGCTGGACATGGCATGACATGTCATGACACGACGCAATGTGGTGATGTTGTGACTCACCGTAAAAATAAGTGACATAACCTGTCGGAATAGATGACATTTTTACATCGCATGACGCTGAAAAAACATAAGATGACTTGACATTTTGTGGCTTTGGCATGTCGTAGCGTTCCGCGACGTACCTTGAATTTAATTAGCACAGAGCATTATAACATGAAGAAACATAACGTACTTTACCTTTACAGCAATTTTCAGTTGAGAGTCGAAACTAATCCGTGACTGCTTTGGTTTTGCCCCATTTCGTTATATGATTGGTCCAGAAAACTCGCCGCACGCTCTCAACCAATCAGATTCGACACTAAAACCAACGCGATTTGGTCACTTTCCTTGCTATGATTGGCTCTTAATAGAACCCCACAATGAACACAGAATAAATGCTTGACACTTTATGACGTGATCCAATTTTGCTCAAAAGACGTGGTATTATCAGTTGAGATACATCAAATACTTTTGCACACAAGCGATTGGTCTAAGTGCATCACAAGACCGAATATTCCCCGGCTAAAACTGGGGGATATCCGATATATCACCCAAGTGATATTCCGTATTTTTCAAGCCTCACGTCCACTAAGATACTGAAGTCTTCCTCTAAAGTTTAATTCAAGATAAGAGAGCGTTTTATGGTTGTTACAGAAGATCGTAAATATTTCTTTGTTCATCAAAGACATACCCGAACACACTCAAAAGAGAACATACCATGCAGCAAACATTAGGCTGGTTGTATGCATAGTTTCACGCGCAATGCAGCAAATTAAAAGGACTATTAACACAAAAGCTTCTATTTTGCGCGAAAATATGCTCGTATACTTGTCCCAGGACATAAATTGTTCCTCGAAGCTCACAGTTTTCCTCGGAAAACTGTTCGCATCTTGGAACAGATAATGTCCGCGGACAAATATCCGGGCATATTTCCGCGCCAAATAGAGGCTATTGTTAGTTATTTCAAGTTTACCTCCACAACATTTCAAACAGTGAAATTTGAACTCGAAATAGTGTAGTGAAACAAGTTTTTATCTTTCAGGTGCTGACCTGGTAGGTGTTAACTGTTGCTTTGATCCTGAGAAAAGTTTACAGACCATTAGTCTGATGAAAGAGGCGTTAGATAAGGAAGGACTTAAAACCTACCTGATGGTTCAACCGGTGGGTTATCATACTCCAGATACTGAAAAAGGATTTGTTGATTTACCAGAGACTCCGTTTGGTAAGTGTGATTTTTAACTCCTTAGTGAGCTACCCATACATTTGCTATTCTTCTATTTTGTTAAAATCAAATCTATATTAGTAGAGTTTGAGATATCTCAACTGTCACGGAGACTCATTATCATGCCGAGGCCAATTTACGCTCGCTCTAGTTCCCGACCGAGAGGAACCCCTGCTAATCGTGTTTGTCCGTAGAGCGCATTTCAATTTGAGTGTTGTAAAACAAAAACCAAATGACTCTCAACAGCCAATCAGAGGAAATGGAAATATCAAAACGTTCCCTTAAGAACGGAAGAACGGATGGTAAAAACAAACAAACTACTTGAAGCGAGACTGACTTAAAATTTGATTCTGATTGTTTGAGAAAGTGGTACAGGTTTTCTAGACCAATCAGAGTAAAGCAATCCTAGATTACCATCGGTGCTCAATAGAAAACTACTCTTAAGATTCACTGCCCAAGCAGAGTGGGTCAGTTTACCTTCCCTCAATTTATATTTGTTTTTTGTTTTTATTGATGTAAAATCTATACTCATCTACCATCAGAGTTCCAACTTTTTACCCTTTTTTCTCCTCTTTAAGCCTTAGAGCCTCGCACATTAACTCGCTGGGATGTGCACAAGTACGCTCGGCGGGCCTACGACATGGGAGTGAGGTACATCGGTGGTTGTTGTGGTTTTCAACCATACCACATCCGGGCTATAGCAGAAGAGGTATGTGAATCTTTGCATTCCCATCTAACTCTCGAGACATTTTTCGAAGTGCAATCAGGGTAGATCAACAAAGAATAGACGATGTGAATCGTTACGACATGGACTGTCTCCTTTTTGAAAATGAACAAAACGTTAATACGATCTTCAAGAAAACCAGAGCGAGAAAAAACTCCTCAAAGGAGTGATAATCTTGGTCCTAGAGGCGAGAGCCCTGGACACGAACTTATATCGGAAGTATTCGGACGCCTTCGGAATTCTTCGTCGGGGACGTCTTTGGAAATCTCTTTCGATATGATCGGGTTCGCTGCGAAATATCTAGGCTCACTCGTGATGAATGCCTCGCGTCAAAAGTTGGCAGGTTTTGTGTATAAATCAGAGTGGAAATTTTAAGACTCGAGACTTTGTTTAAAGGTGACTTCGACAGAGATGGCAGCTTTCTCTTCATTCATATGAGGTATACACAGGGTGAGTGGGTGCTCCGGTAATGAAATGGTCTTCGATATAAATTTGGGAAAATAATCAAACCTTGACCAACCCATTATACGGAAAAAAAATAGGTTTTCAAGTAAGCTACGAGACCAGTTTCTCTAAAAAGGGGATGAGTTTATTTATCAACTTTATAGATAGAGAAATGACTTCTACTTCTGTATAGCTTGCTCCTGAACGAGGTAGATTACCCGCCGCCAGCGAAAAACACAGTCCTTGGGGAGAGGCACTCAAACATCATTCGGTAGACTCGATTCGAGCAAGGTGGGTCCGTAACGAATTGTGAGTAGAATTCCTTCTCAATTCCCTAAGCGCCCGCGAGGTGACTTAAGTTCTATGGCTATCACTTTAGTGCTAAGTTAGTTATACTAAGATTCAGTTCTTGCAACGGAGTAGTATCGAAAAATATCCCAAAATGCATCGTCGTTATCCTTACTTCGCTTTGTGACTTGTCTGGAGAGTAGCGCCACCTGACCCTCTCAACCAATCAGAATCAAAACTTGAGCAACTTTGATTGGGAGATGGCGTTAGCTGTATTTCGCTTAGTGATTGGTCTGGTAAACTCGCGCCACTTTCTAAACCAATCCGACGACCTACGAAAACCAACCGCAATCTGCCCGCCCTCGTTTTCCCGCCCTCTAGGCAGTTCACTGGTGTTAACGTTATGTTTCCATCGGCTCTTCGTGATATTCTTCTTTTTTTTCTAATTCTCCTTGTCGATAATTCTGTTTCTTGTATTTTATAGGGCTAATCGAGCGTACTGGGAAAACCTCAAGCCAGCCTCTGGTCGACCGTTTTGTCCTTCATTTAGTGGACCGAGAGGATCTGGCCAACCTCAATAAGTAAAGAATTGGTTGCGTGAACGCTGAGTCGTTTCGCTGTTTTTTCTTTTTCGTCTGTCCTAGACCTTAACTCCACAGGCGATAAGACTTTTCCTTGAAGAGTACTGAGTTAATTTCTTTCAGAAAGCTGATAATTCACGAAACAAATGAAGGTTCTTCCTTCCAACGAAAGGTCTTATCGCCTGTGGAATTGCCTGCGAAAAAAAATTTTTGATCGGTATCGAAATGGCAAAACGCGCGTTCGGTCGTGCTGTTTTTGTTCAAGGCTTCCTTAACTGTTTCATATCTTACATCCCACCCATTTGAAACACTATTCATCAATGGCAAAAAGCTGGGAGTATATTTCCTGAGTGACCCTAAGCGGCATGCGCTATGCCCTTACTTCTCTTCACATATATCCATGACGCCCATTCAAAAACATTCTCTCCTGTTCATTTTCCTGCGTAAGTGAAATACTCCCCTCAAACATCTGAACGTTGAGCAGTTTTAATCAAACCAAGGGACTTACCCCCTACCCCAGCCTTACCACCAGCTTACTCCTCTGCCTACTCCCCTGAGGGTTTTCATGGACTCCTTTAGTAAATATTTGCAGTGTTTTGTTTTGCGGGATTTTTTTTCAGTAAGAATTTCATTTTTAAGATCAAGGAAAATCTGTAATTTGCTCAAAATTAAAACGAGCTACATATAAATTTTCGTTTGTCAATGTACAAAAATTTCCCACAAAAAGTCGTACGGTGTTCCTTTCTCTATCAAAATTTTGAGATCATATGCCATCCTGATGTTAATCGTAGAAATAGTAACAAAAATAAGGTACAGGCACAAAACCCTTGGACTACTATCAGATACACTGAAAATAATATTTTACAATTAATTACTGGTTATTTACTTATAACAAAATGCTCATCTTTCATAAAATAATAATAATATGAAAATGAAAATAATCATAATAATAATAATAATAATAATAATAATAATAATAATAACAATAAGAACAACAACAACAACAACAAATGTGACTTGCACATCTCAAAGTAATTTGTCTCTTCAGTGGCCCACCACACAAGGAGGTTCAAAGATGGCCAGTGATTCATGTCCTTTTAAACAAAGTGTCCTGTGATAGGACTTCTCTTTTTTCAGTTAAAGTTATAAGAAAAATGTAAGATTGTTTGAACATCATTTAAAGCATTCCACAGATCCATGACCCTCGAGACCATTGTAGAAGAAGAAGTTACTCAGTGGGGCATCTCTTCCTGAAACAGCCTACAGGAGAATGAAGATAAATAATAACCAGAGTAGTGGTATTAGATGCTAAAAATTTCATGATGAGATCTTTGCCAATAACCAATGAGTACTCATTCCTTACTTAAAGACATGAATGAAACAGATCTGACTCACAGATATGCACTACTGCAAAATATTTGACATGAAAGATGTTGTTTTTATGTTTGGCCCTAACAAACAATTGTACAAACATTGACATCTTTTGAAGTAATTCCCTGGTATTACATTTTGAATCCTTGATGTACATGATTTCTGCCTGTTGTTTTCCAGAGTAAGGTTTGCAAGAGTATTGTCAAAAAGGAGAGAATCAAACAGAAGTGAGTGTGGTGAACCCCCTTTTTTCTATGAAATTTTTGTTTTCAGCCCAACATGTTACAGCATTGGACATATCTGCAACAAGTTCTCTTTCTATCAAATTATTTTAGGCCTCCAGTATTAACTAAAACATCATCATGTCCACATGCCTCTCAAAAAAATGGTATACTGAAACTGTTATAAATTTACCTTTACAACCTCCTGCCCCACAATGCCGCCAACAATGGCACACACAGGACTCACTTCTGCAGTACAGTAGCTGTCAGTTGGAAAGTATTATAAAAACATTGTTATCAGCAAATAACTAAAAATTTCTGGAACTTTTTACAGTCTCAAGTTGATAGAAAATCATTTTTCATCAAACATCATAGACACAAAAAGCTAACAGTGAACACACTTACGAAGCAAATTCCTCAGGAAGAAGTGTCACATCAAGGTTCAGTTCTTTCATTATTTCATCTCGTAGTATCAACAATTTCTCCTTGTCTTCAGAACTTGTGGAAGTCTGTGGCAGTCGGCCATACTGGCTGCGAAATCTTAGCAGAACTGTAAAATCAAGGTTAAATAAAGGAACAGTACATGTGAAAAAGGAGAGCAAAGTTTTAAAATTTTTTTCAGAGATGCTTAAAATTAAGCCCAATGAGTAAGCAAAATTACTTTTTTAATACCATAACAAAATAAAACTAAATTTATGAGAAGCTTTGATAAACTTTCACATACCTTTTATCATAAAATATACAGAAGGTAATCTTTTCAAAATCTTTTCAGGTCTTTCATCTAGTTTGCATGATAATGCAGCTTTCAATCGATAGAATTCTGCAAACTAAACAACCTACGATTAGTACCCATCACATTATACAGAATGAAATACCCATAATATTAATTTTAATAACCTTTTAACTCCCAGATCCAATATGTAATTCTCCTTACAGTCAACCATACAATTCTTACAATGCTAGCTCAGAGAATTTAGTACTGGATCAACTAATTATCCTCAAATTGATATTTTTCTCTATTCTCATCAGTTATCTGGTTGATATTGTATTTCATATTGTAAGGAGAATCAACTTATAATCCCCTTACTGATATTTTTCTTTATTCTCATCACTTGCCTGCTTGATGTTGTATTGATATTTTAAGGAGAAATTCTGTCTTGGTCACTAATGGAAGTTAAAGGGTTAATTCTTCTTTGCTTCACCCTTCAACTTCCAAGATCAAATTGTTAACCCCCCTCCCTATCTGCTGGACATCAAGATAAAAACTTCCACCTGATAACTTTCAGTCTTCTCACTACCTGTTTGCTAGATAATGTTGAATATTATAGGGAGAAGTTACATGTTAATCACTTCTAAGAGTTTAAGAGTCAATAATGCACCTTTTGAGTTTTTCTATCCTATTAAATGCATATTTTGCAGTCCTCTTCAAGTTGATTGTAATTTTGAAAGTCCCAACGGAAAAATGAGTCAAAATTTCTCTAATCATTATTTTTAGCAGATGAAAAGGAAATATAGCTATTTCAACAGTTTCAATGTTCCCTTCATATTAATGATTCATGATCCTCCTCACTTGTTATCTGGAGGCAAGTTTTTTAAATGTCCCACAGGTTGATGCCCAATGAAATTTTGATTACTGTTTTTCCTCAGTAACAGTCAACTTTTGGACAAGACACTCATTACCTTTTGAACTATGACGGTTTCACTGGCATCAACTTTTCTACGTTTTGCTTCTGGTTCACCATCAGAACTTGAGTTTTTCCTTTCTGATGCTGTAACAACTTTAGGTTTTTCTCTGAATGACATGAGTTCATTGAAAAGAGATTGTCATGCTAAAGACAACATACTTACAAATATTGCAATATACAGCTAATTTATCTGAATTGTAACTGCTGAGTGGACTGACCAAAAACAGGCTTCAAACTTGAGAAGATCAGTATATCTCAATTCTGTATCTCTTCAAGTCTATATGCAAGTCTTTATCTCCAGAACTAGATTTCTGCCTTTACGACCCTAAGCAACTCCTATCGAGAATTTAGTTGCCTAAATTTTTTTTTCTACTTGCCATGGTGACAAAAATGATTGCAGCTTGGAGCCCTGTCATAATGACTGGAATTTACCAAATTGCTGCTAATTTTTATGTTTAGTTGAGACTATCACAACAAACTTTTATTGACGTACTCTACATATTTGTGTTCTCCAAGGTCTGCAAACATATATCCATAAAAGCCAAACACATCAGCAGCAAAGAACTTTACACCATTAGCATGACAAACATCATTCATATGAATCTAGGAAACAAAGAGAATTCATTGTAACCCTTTAGCTCCCAAGATCCCATTAGTAATTCTCCTTACTGTCTTCTATACAACTCATATGATGTTAGTTTGGAGAATTTGGAATTGGATCAACAAATAATCCCCTAATTGATTGCTTGATATTGTGCCAATAGTGTGAGGAGAAATTCTTTCTTGGTCACTAATGGGACTTAAAGGGTTAAATAAAGAAAATTTATATGTCAAAATTAAATTACTTGTAATAAGAGTAGCATGATTAGGAATTCCATAAAGTAGGAGGTTAACATCTGGGCTACACTGTAACTGCACACAAAACTGGACCAAAAACTCGCATACATTTTTTTTGGGAAATACATTCAACTCTCACACATCACTGCATAAACCAGGCAGTTGTCAGTCACTAGCCTTCATTAGCCTTATAAGGTTATAAGCTGATAAATTATGTTTACAGATTCCATGTTCCCACGCATCTGTTCAGTAGGAGATCATAGCTGACATCAAAATGAGGCAAGAACAAAAAGGTGACAGTTGGGGCACAGGCGAGTATGTCACTGATATTCTTACCACATTTTGACATTGTCTGTGATCTATTATTGAACAGACCAACCACCACAGAGAATCTGTTTGTTTATACGATAAAGAGGCAAAATGTTGTTGATGGTAATTATTTAATAAAGAAGCAAAATGTTTTTAATGGTAATGACATCTAAGCATCTTTCCTTCAATAGATCATAGGTAAGAACGAATCAAAATGCTTAACCCTCTAACTCTCAAGATCTCATTAGTACTTCTCCTTACTGTCTGCTATACGATTCATATGATGTTAGTTTGGAGAATTTGGAATTAGATGAACTAATAATCCCCTAATTTGTATTTTTCTTTATTCTCATTACTTGTCTGTTTGATATTGTTCTGATAGTGTAAGGAGAAATTCTGTCTTGGTCACTTGTGGGACTTAAAGAGTTGAATTTGTAATTCAACTTATTATATTAATATCCAGTAGTTTAAAAGGGGGAAGCCAAAATCAACTCACTCTCTTAGCAATCACGTGCAACTACACAAATTGCTTTGTAATAAATATGCCAGTCATACAAAAACCAAGAAGACATCATCATCATTTATTTTTTCATTCTGTATAAGATGGTACACTGCTATGCAACTCCTTTTACTAACTAGCCATCATGTAACAAATAGCAAGCAATGTAGCCAATCAGATTGCAGCATTGTGATATTATATTGTTTACTAGTAAAACTAAGAAAGGAGTTTTCTATGCAGAATTACTTACCAGCTGATCTGCAGAACAGTCTGTGGCTACCACCAAATCGAAATTTTTAAAAAAATCATCACTTTTCTTGGAAATATCCTCACTGTCTGCTGTAACTTGTACCATAGGGTTGAGTTGCTGAGCCCGTTGTAGAGAAGACTCTGCACGCTACAGTAAAATCAAGGGAGGAGTTGCAATATCGCAAACCACTGGTACTCACCAAAATTGGTTTAAGATATGAAGAGTTTAACCTTTGTGCTCTTACATCAGTTACCACCTTCTCCATCTTCCCTATAGTGTTCTCTTTAAATTTCCTACAGTGTTGACTAAGATAATTTTTTTTGAAAATCAAGAATTTCTTAAGTTAGCGATTATTTATTTTATCCTCATAATGCAAGTTTTTTTAATTCAATAGTGACACAGTGGGGAGAAATTAGATACCACAAACATGTTTAGTGATGTCTAATGAAAGATCAATGCCAAATTGTCAAATGCCAACCTTGCCTACAATGCATTTAAGAAATGTAACTATGTGAAATCCAGTCTCTCACAGTCCAGTTCTTTGGCTTCAATTGGGTGCCAGACTTGATGTTATGACTCCAGAACTTAATTGGCTGGAACCTTTTTCCAAAAGCAGGCTGATTTCATGAAAGGGCTATAATGCTCTTAGATACTGACTGGTGTAGATACAACATCTTTCATTCATCGTTAGATACGGTAAATTGCTCTCAGTCAAGGGTAACCATTCCCCACCCTTACCCAGTCTGATCACCTAGGTAAGTAGCCTGACACTGTCGACGACATTCAGACTACAGGATCAATTATCATTTTAAAACAGGTTACCTTTGTGGGGAAAAGCCGTTACCCCTTATCTTGTAAACTTAAATGTACATAGACTTAAGACTCACGTTCTTTCCCAAATCTTGTCGCTGCACCAGAAACTGTGACAAAAAATCTTGTTCATTTACAGGATTGGGATCTACTATTGTAAAGGACTTCACACCTGATAGCACAAGATTCTTACAAATCTCGGCTCCAATACCTCGTATACCAACCAGCAAAACACGTGAAGCTCTCAGCCTGAAGCGGAAAAATCACAACAAAAGATAACATAGTACAAAAGAGGGTTTGCTTGATGCTTAATCTGGCTCATCAGATTTCTCCTACGAATTTGAACTCGAGTAGATCCAAAAACAGTCATTTTAATTTCTACAACGAAGGTTCAACTCAAAGAGAAAATAGAGAACAGCTGTTCAGAATACCTACCGTTTTTGAGCATCTAGGCCCCAAAGCCGTATTTGCCTGTCATACAACGCAGCTTCATCCTCAGTTATTGCAGATCCGTTTTGATCATCCATCACGCTTGGATTTTCAACCATCACCGGTACAATTTATATGAAAATGGATGCGATATTCGTAGTTTTATCAAAATAGATTCAAATAAGGCGGGAACACAGCGCGAAACAACAACATACTGCGCAACATTACTACGTGCACTTCACGCATATAGTCGTGCAGCATCCGCTGAGTTATTGTGCGTCCAAAATGGCGGCAGATTTGAGCTCGAATGGATTAAAAAAACAGCTTGGTTTATTAACAGTGGAATAGTTAGGTGATGTGATCAGAGATTGTCCACGAAATCTTCCTTTTTTAATGATGAGGGTTGTTGCTTTAATCAGGTGACTATTTGACTTCTTCTGAGGGAAAATAGATATACACTGTTGATCGTACCATTTGATGTTGTTCGAAGCACACGTGCACCAGAGCTTCACAGCTGCTTTGATTTCTTCTTTACTAGCGGGGGAAAGGACAGCTGTTACAACATGATGCAGTGCGTTCAACAAGGTCACACTATCGTTGCACTTGCTAATCTGAAGCCAAGAGGGGAAGGTATGTGTGATAAATAGAGAAGGGGATTGTTATGAAGGAGTTTTCTCCGGACATTATTTAATTTTTCTCCCGTCATAACAAACTTTGTATTAAATTTTGCGGGTGAATATGTTTTGAGATTCGAAAGAGTGACCTAACCATTGAAAACTGTCCAGTAACCCATCCAGTCATACGTACTGCTTCCCCCCCCTCCCCCCCTTAGCATTAGAAGATAATTTTTAAAGGGGTGGGGAAGTGGCTGTATACAACCTATTCCAGTCTGTTTTTTTACTTAATTTTGGTAGCATGAAGTGACTAGGATTTTAGCTGCTTGCCCTGGATGAGATGCCAAACCATCTAGGGTAATCCCCCTTCCCCCCATTGGTATCAATTTATACTCCTGGGGGAGGAGGGGGGGGTGGAGAAAGGCACTGTGGGCATAAAGTGTCTTGCCCAGGAGCACAACACTATGATCCAGACGGGGCTCAAACTCAGAGTCCTGGGCTTCAACCATCCAGCCAGTGCATTTACTTTGCAGAATGTGATTTTCTATTTTCTAACTGTTAAATTACAACAGCTGATGAACTGGACAGCTATATGTACCAGACTGTGGGTCACAATGCCATAGACCTGTACGCTGAGGCCATGGACTTGCCTCTGTATCGAGGGACAATACAGGGATCTTCAGTGGATCAAGGAAAAGTGTACACAGAAAACCAAGGAGATGAAGTTGAAGACCTCTACAAACTTCTTAAGAATATCAAGGTATTTTGTGCTGCCGGCTTGTACCATTTTCTCTCTACAATATCAATACAATATCAAACAGACAAGTGATGAGAATAAAGAAATACATCAATTAGGGGATTATTAGTTGATCCAATACCAAATTCTCAGAACTATTGTGATAAGAATTGTATGGAAAACAGTTAGGGGAATTGCCAATGAAATCTCGAGAGTGAAAAGGTTGCCTTAAGTAGCAAAATAAGATACAAATCATTTCAACAAGCACCTAGCTAGTGCCTCATGCGATTCATGCTTGTTTGTTTCAGTTTGTGCGTTATGTAAGCCATGGCTTTTGTTAGTCATCTCTTATATTCCCTACATAGATGGCTCTTGTTTGTTCCAAACACACTTAGCATTCTTTGACTGTACCTAAATTTGTTTCTTTTAGGAGAACATTGAGTTTGATGCAGTGTCTACAGGAGCTATTTTGTCTGATTATCAACGAATTAGAGTGGAACATGTGTAAGACAGCAGAATACATTTTTATTTTAATCTCATCCTGAAATTATTACATAAAGTACAAGAATGTTGCACTTGTCTGAACGGTGATTTTCTTGTTTTAAGTATTGGAATAAAAGGAGATATTATCCAACTGCACAAAGTAGAGTGCAAATAATGTGCGAATATCCAACAATGTTGCACAGTTATTTGGACAGTTGGTTATTTTGTAATGTAAAAAAACCTGCTGGTTAACCAATTGGCTGCTCGCGCTAAACTTCTCTATCTGCTTTGCTTTTCCTGCCTCATAAGAAATGAGCAAAGACTTAGCAGAAAAAAAGGATTTGGATGATAAATAACTTATTAGACGTTTTGGTATGTAGTATTGCTGTGTATTTTTACTTGTTGTTTGTATTTTGACTACTTTCATTTTGTATTGTAAAAGAATGTTGGGTTCATTGTCTTGTGAGTTAGCATGAATACTGAGGATGATTCCCATCTTATTTTTAAAACTGCTAGTAACCATAATTTTGGAATTAGCCAGTTAATCTTTTATGAGGATTATAGCAATTCAGTAAATGCTAAGACACAGCTTACCAATAATGGGTCTTTTTGAGATATTTGTTTTAATTTTTGATCTTTAGCTGCTCCAGACTGGGATTATCCTCACTAGCTTATCTTTGGCGACGTGATCAAACAGAGTTGCTTGGTGAAATGATTTCCTCTGGAGTTGAAGCCATTCTAATAAAAGTAGCTGCAATGGGTATTCACACTTGTCTGTAATTTACATTCATGTCTCTGTAGCTGAGTGAATACAGCTTATTTTGTATACAGAACAGGGACACAAAAATCTCAGGCAGGATTTTGACCCAGCTGCAAACAAGACCTCTTAGCTATTCTTTCATCTCAGGGGAACCTTATATACAAAATTTATACTTCTTGACTGAAAATTATTTTAAAATACTTTGAAAATAAGGACTTACAACAGAGTCAATGTTTTCCCTTTACTTTCTTAAAAACTTTTGGCAAGCATGTTTTCCAGTCCACAACTGAGTTGAAAATGTAAATTGGCCACTGTAAAGAGTTTAAAGGTTGATATTTCAAGTGCTGGCCCTTCGTCAGAGCAATTAGCCCTTCACTCTGGCAAAGGGCTAATGCTCGAAATGTCAGCCTTTAAACTCTTTATGGTGGCCAATCTACATTTTCAACTTTGTTAACACTAAATCAGCTGTTATACTCTCCTACAAATGCAGCACCACAGTTTCTTTTTAGAAACTTACCCCATTTATTCATATTTGCCAGTCCATTCTTGTTACTACTGCCAAGCATGGAATTCCAGTTATACAAGAGGCAAAGTGCAATCACTCTCAGTGTTAGATCGTCATGAACCTTTTTTCTTTTTCACCAGTCCTTCATTGTTAAAATGTTAGTTTTTTAATGGCTGTTTATAGATCTAAGTCCAAAGAGACATTTGGGACTGCCCATAGCAGATATGTATTCTCTAATGTGTAAACTGGTAAGGAAAACAATAATCAGATGAATTTAGTACATGATGCATATAGCTTTTATTACTTTGTTATCATGGTTCTTATGGGAAGTGATCATCAGATTGAAAAAAAAAGATGTCAGCTTACAGTCCAAAAAAACCATCCAGCCAAAGCTGATACTTAAACTTTCAATATTTGATTAATTTTGTAACTCTCCTTACTGGCTGCCATACTTTTCTCTTTAAATTGCCAAGGAGAATTTAAATTTTCAGTCTTTTGTTCTCTCTGTACAACTTGTCTTGACTAGCTTTTGCTATATGCAAATTGTATCTGAACTGTATTATTTTGTAACTGTGAACATAGAGTTTATGGTCTATTAACTAAAGGGTAACACCCTCCAACTAACGAGCTTGTCTGTTTCCATAAACCAATTATAAGATAACATTGGAATTGCATGGAGAAGTTAGACATTGATCATGTATGGGAGGTGAATAGGCTCAATTTCCATCGCTCTCTTGTGTCTGGTGTCCCCTGAGTTCGGGGAGGAGTGCAGGCTCTTTTTCCTGAGCAGCGGCTGGTAATCTAGCTTAGCTTAGAAGTTGAAGGGGTTACAATATCCCAGTTTCATTAGTGCAAAACAACTACCTGTGGGAGTATTGAAACTCTGCTCAGGATGAGATGTCAGGCATACTGCTCATTTGTGAGAGATACCATTTCATACTGAAAAACAATTTTGTATCCATGCAACATCCTCTGTACATCATATTTTTTTTTTACATCTGATTCACTAGAAAGACAAATATGGCTCAAATGTTTGTGGGGAAGGAGGAGAGTATGAAACTTTTACTCTGGATTGTCCTTTGTTCAAGAAAAAAATTGTCATGTGAGTTATATTTTGATTGAATATTAAGTTAACTACAAAACTTAACCCCCTTCTCTAGAGGCACAAGGTGGTTTTCTATATAGAAGCTATCCCTTCTCTCAAGGTTTGATTTTTGAAAATTTACTGAGAGTGCAAAAAAAATTGCAGTTAATTAAATTCTTCTGAAGAGTTGCTGTTGTAAATGAGGGTTAGTGAATGTTTTAATGAACAATGGGTTAAAAAACCTACACATAATATGGTGAAAAATGCAATGCACTCTGTCTTAATAGCTTTTAAAAGAGTCATATGTCTTTTCTTTTTATCACAAGAGATGAAAGCGAAAGTGTCATTCATTCAGATGATGCCTTTGCTCCTGTGGGCTTTCTTCGCTTCAAGAAAATGCATGTGGAGGATAAACTACTTGATGAGGTACAGGAAAGTTAAATCCTAATTGTGATAAACATGTAACTTCTCCTAACAATGCCCATGCATTTTACAACAAACAAGTGTTGAGAATGTATAGAATTATCAGCTGAATGGTTTTTTCTCAATAGGACAGTTGTTATTCAGTGAATTAACTTTTAATTTTAGTTTTTAAATTAAAGTAATTGAAATAATTAATATACATGTAGCAGGATGTTCATCAACTACTGAAGCTTAGAGAATTCTCGATTTTCCAATTCTCCTTGCTGCATTAGAACTATGTTTGGATCAATATCAGTATTTGGGTAACTGCCCACCTACCCCTCCCCTAACCCAACATTGACCTAACTTGTTATCAATTGACTGTTGTTGAGTTAGGGGATGGGGTAGGTGGGCAGTTGCCCAGATACTGATATTGATCCCTATCTTTTAACCCTGTGACCCCTATGGGTGACTAACATCTAATTTCTTCTTACAATATAAATACCAAATCACACATCTAAGTTATGAGAATCAAGGAAATGATCACCAACAAAAGAAGCTCTTGTGAATGAATGTCAAAGAAATTCTCCTTGTCAGCATCTAGGGAAATGTATCAAGAACAGTATGGAGAATATGAACACTGATGTTAGGGTATGAAAGGTTAATCAGAGATAAAAATATTCTCTACTTCTTACTTTACACTACTATTCCTCTGCTTTTACATTTCTTCTTGAAAATGTTGAAATTGAAGATATATTGTAGAGGTCAAAGCAGATCATGAGCAGTTAATTGCAACACTAATTTCACAGTGGTTGAACATCCTGTTTTATTCAAATTGTTTTTATTCCTTTCCATCTTTTCTAGGTTAATTCAGAGCTGTGCCTAGAAAACCACAATCATGGGGAATCATTTGACAAGTTGGAAGTACTGGTAAGGATGTTTTTCAACTTCCTTTTCAGAGCAATGATCTTTAGTATTTATGGAAGAGGCAAATAAAGAAACAGATATGGTTTGTTGACGGGTGGCTCCTACCATTGCCACAATAATGTTACATAAAGTCACATGATGTTATTGAATTTTTTTTATTAAACTATTGTTAGTAGATGTTTCTATTTTTGTTGTTTTGACAATTTCACCCTAATATATCTTTGCCCTGACCTACAATACATGATGAAACACTGGACTATTACAATCCACCATCCAGCAGTATTTAGAATACTATCATATTTTATGGATAAACCTTCTTATAATACAGTTTACAAATTATACTTATTCAAAGATAGATTACAGCCTGCAAACATCATCTGAAGCAAGCATCATTTGCTTTGATGAAGGGCTAATGCTCTAAACACAAGCTTTGAAACTCTTTATGGTGGCCAGTTAAGATTATCAACTCAGTTGATGAAACCAAAATTATCATATCAACTGAATTAGTTCACACTATGAGCTCACTCAATGGCACTTTTAAGGATATGGTTATTTTAACACTAACAGCAAGAATTTCTTAGAGCTCTTTTTCGTAATTTTTCATTGTGCAGCTGTCATTATAATTCTCTGAATCATAATGATTATTTTTGTTAGCCAGACAACACAACAGATAGAAAAGAAAAGGGAATTGTGGAGAGAAGGCTGAATATAAAGATTCCCATGAGTCAACCAGAGTTAAGGAAGGAACTTCAAGGTAGAATTTAACTTTGATTTAAGGTCATGTGTTAGTTCATTATGATTGCAAGTATTGATAGTTCATTTGAAGGGTTTCCTAGAATAGATCATAAGCCTTTCAACCTTTAAAAGTGACCACCTTTTATCTTATTTTTCCTCACAATATTGCCCTTGAATCAAAAAAAAAGGTCATGGGAATTACGGAAATGACCTGAAGAAGCTCTTGATTGCTAAACAAATTCTCATTTACAGTACCATAAGAAATGTATGGAGAACAGTTTTGGGAATATCCCCACTGATGTGGGGCTGTAAAAAGTCAAAAGGTGATTTTTGATGTATCATCAACTCCATGGGTTGCAGATCTGAATACATGTTAGTGGCATTTGGAAGGAGAATGTAGCGATCTACACTATATGCATGTGGAGCTTACTTCCATGCACCTTATTATTTACAGTTATGGTTGAAACAGTTACCTGGTTAGACACTTGTCTCATTTTATTCATCAGGTAGAATCCTCTTTAGCAGATGTGGTGACTATATTTGGCTTTCTGGGATATATGGTCATTGCACTGTTGAAGGGGAAAAGTTAGCAATTGAAGATGTAACAAGAAATGTGTTCCAGAGTTTACAAGGTGAGATTTTTCAGTTAACCAGGCAACTGGGTGTTCCCGAGCAGCTCAGGTTGTTTCGATATGATTTTTGTCTTAAGGTGGCTTAGCCAGCTCTGGTACAGCTGGGATATGAATGCTATGTTTGCTGAGAGCTTGGAATGCTTGTTTAAGTAGTGTTACAAGAACTGTAAATTACAGAGTGTGACTTTCTTTTAACATCAACAAGATACCTGGAGGTGTTGATGTGGGATGCATTGGTCTTTACCAACAGTCACTCTGGTTAAACGCAGAAAATAATAAATGTATTTTAAGTTGACTCGTTATCAGCTTCCTAAGCCAACCTTTTTTGGCTTGTCATGCAAGCTTTTCTTAGTACACAGGTGGATTTAAAAAATGAAGACTTGAAAAAAAAGTTAACAACACAGGATATTATGTGAGGTCACCCATCCAAGAAGCCTAGTCGATAGGGCTTAACTCCAGTGAGAAGCACAAGCACATGGCTAATTACCATATGATATGAGATCACCATGATGGAGAATCTCGACTGAAATTTGATTGTGGTATGCCTGTGGCATTCCACATATAACAGCTAAGTGATAGGGAAACTCAACTGACATTTAAACATGGTAGATCTGTGGCATTCCAAGTAAAAAGCTAGGTGATGACATGACCATTGAAATGCTAACTTGTCTCCTTTGTAGATACACTTTCAAGTTTGAAGGCATCCTTGTCTGATGGAATGATGGTTCACCTATTTGTGAAGAACATGGATGACTTTGCCAAAGTCAATTCTGTTTACAAGAGGTTTTTATCAGTGAACCCTCCTGCAAGGTAATTTCCATCAAATTGTCTTGTAAAGGAATATGACCAAATGTAAGTGCTGGTGTCTGGAAGAACTTTCTCTAAGTGTCAACAACAATTTGGAATGGCTTTTGGTTCTGCTTGACTATGCTCTGTGATTAATTCAGGGAACTAGCTCTATTTTCCAACTAATACAATTCAAAACTTGATCAAATCAGAACTAGGGTCAATCACATTTCCCAGCAGTCTAAGGAGTCAGCCATTGTAAGTTTTTCCCATAAATCTGTACTTTGAGTTCTCATTGGTTCCTTGTGATATTTTCCTTTGCTCTGATTGGCTGTTGTGATTACTTTGGTTTTGGCTCCCCCATGCTATCCCATGAGCCCTTTGTGTATGACTGACACATTTGTGCTTCTTTATATGATGGGATACTTGACTGACAAAACATTAAACTGCATTATGGGTTACATGGCTGTGTAATTTTGTAAAATGAACAATTTTTTAAATTTGTTAGTTTGGCAGAAAAATCATGCCCAGGTAAAACTGATCTTGTTTTTTCTCTTTTTTATATTTTTTGTTCATGCAATCTGCCATAAGGTTACCGTAGTAACTAATTGATGATTGCTGAATCTGCTAAGGGAAATACTGGAATCAAGCACTGAAGTAGTTGTAATTCCAGACCATTTACTATTTTAAAGGGCTTGTATTCAGCTCAACTTACCAGAGGATGTTGCCATTCAAGTTGATTGCCTTGTATTTGCTGCTGAAGGTGCTAACAATTCACTGCGAGAAGCTATGCATGTTCAGAGCATTTCTCACTGGGCGCCAGCAAATATTGGACCTTACAGCCAGGCAACAAAGGTAATTATATTAAAGCTATAAGGTAGGATTTTTGTTATTAGTCACCGGGGAGATGCAGTGGCCCGCTGAGGGGTCAATAACAGTGCTCCTGATTATAAAGCCTGAGTCAAAGAACATAATCTGTGTAGCCCCTTGAATACTTGAATTTAGAGGAAATATAAGGGACGATCGAAAAGCTTCCTGCTATGGCACTAAATTGCAGTGATTATTCTTACCTATCATTACTAACAATTAGTACACTTTTACCTGAATTGTTTTATATTGACATTCCTGTGCTTACAAATTTTAACTATTAACAGCACTTTGCACTCAGATCAGGGTCCATTGCCAAACTTTACTGGGCATTTGACGTTATTTATTGCAATTTAGGATGAGAATATATATATATATACACATACATTTTCTCTAAATTTGAATTTTTAAGCAATTAACACTGTTTGTGTGGCCTTCCTGTGGTTGGAACCATGGATGGGGTAATTTCCAGGTGTCCCTGAGCAATAAGCTTTTCCTTTAGACTTGATTTTGCAACCATTTGCACTTTAACATTAATAAGCATATTTTCCATACTATTCTTGATAAGGAGAATTTGTTTGACAATCAAGAGCCTCTTTAATGAATTTGGAATCATTTCCTTTATTTTCATGACCTTAATGTGTGACTCAGGAGTAGTGACACTAAAGAAAATTTTGTTAACAGTCACTCTCTATTCTGCAGGTCAGAGACACCATATTTGTCTCTGGTTCCATTGGTTTATGGCCATCAGCAATGACAATGGTGTCTGGTGGTATCTTGAGGGAGGCACCACTGTCTCTTCAACATGTTGACAGAATCTTAACAGCACTGAATGTGGTAGAATCACTACAAAGTGTTGTGCATGGATTTTGTTTTCTAACATCATCTGTTTCCGTGCCAGTTGCAAAGAACGCTTGGAGCTGTGCATTGAAAGATAAGGTAACAGGTAGACAGGTAAAAGTGTCTAATGTTGTGGTAAAAACAATATGAGAATCCTCTCGGGGAAAATTTAAGGGTGGCTGCCATGGATCTATTGACACAGTTTATCTTAGGCTAATATTTGTAGCATAAAGGAACTATGATCATTTTTACTCCCAAATATAGATTAAGAGGTTTGAGTAGTGTTTTCCTAACATGACATGGTTGTTTGAACATACTCTTAACTGATCCTGTACCTTTTTTAAAATTGATAAATTGTTTATTAACAGTGTGAGAACAGTAAGACAGAAAAAGGATCACCAACAGGATTAATGTCATATATCATTGTGCCTGCATTACCCAAAGGAGCCTTGATTGAATGGCATGTTGTAGCACAGGAAAGTGGTTTCCAGCATTTGTGTAAGTTTGGAAATCAATGTGTTTTTGGAGCAAATCTAATATGCGCTTATATTCATTAGATATAATTCAGTGTTACATGCTTAGACCGGAATTAAAAATTTAGGACATGCAGGGGAAGTTGAATAGTATTAAATAACATGATATTCCCCATGTGTAAACACGTGTGAGGGCAGTGTGCTTGCTTGGTTAGAGTACTTGGCTTGAAATGTGGGTTCAGTGTAGATTGGGGTTCAATTGAAATCCAATTGGATCTTTTAAACACTTTGTTTATTTATTTATTTATTTATTTATTTATTCAATTAAGTTCAGCATTCTGTGCAGTTAGCAGAGAGTTTAAAATGTTTTAACACATTTCAGGCGACAGACAGGCACACAACATTTATCAATAACTGATTCATTGTATTTTCACACCAATATAACTCATCAGATAACTCAACGTCTGCTGATAGGGGGAGTTTCAGTGTTGTTGTAAAAAGCATTGCTGTCAAAGGAAACATTAACAGCAGCTTTGCCGCTAACATAGCAGTTGGTAAGTTTGCAATTCAGCTGTGCTGGGCTGTACCCATTTAGACCACTGATTGTAAAAATTTCTACTCATAATAATGTATTTCTGACTTGGGATGTTGATTCTTTAGTTGTTCCACTTTCAAGCTACCAAGGGTACACAATATTGAAAGATTCCTTCAGGTTCTAGAATGAAGCATCTTTTTACTCCATTCAAGTGAGTTCTCAGTTAATAACAAGTGACATCCCAGGAAATGTAATAGCAGAAGAATACTTACTGTATAAAGTAACAAGAAAAAACATTTATGATGGCTCCAGGTCTAAATATAACATAGCTCTGGTTACCCAAATCTGACCGAGAATTCAGCTTAATAGCTGGAGAATTCTCCTGTCTCTGATGCCAAGTCAACAACCTTTGTTACAAATTTTCCTTTGCACATTTCAGAGAGTACATCAGCTGATTTTACCCTGGAGGAAGTCATGGTGACATTTGTTAATGAGTTAAAATGCTGCACCTCACAACACGACTTCAGCCTTTCTCATCTGATGTACTTGAGAATATTTTATGTCAAAGGTGTTATGGACCATTGGAATGCACAGGACTTAATTCATAGGAGTTTGGAGAGGACTGCAGTTTTGGTTCCTGCCTTTTCTCTGATACCTGTGGATGCTCTTGAAAAGGAAAACACGGTGATGCTTTTCTGTTATTTCCTACAGAAAGCAGAAAATGGATCTCTTGCGGACTGACTGGAGGCTAAATTCAGTTGTAAATCAAGAGAAAGGGTACCAGAAGTCCGAACCCCACCCCTCCCTTTACCAGTGGATTTTTTAACAAATTGTCACCTGACCCCAAAATTCTTGCAACAAAGGCAAAGGTAACATGTCAAGAATGGCAAGAGTAAAACTTTGATAAATACTTGGAGGCATTGGAAGTCTGTGTGCTGGAAAGAAGACTGCTATAGAGGCCAACAAAATTACTGTTTGGAATTTTCTGTATACTTAAGACTACTATTACCCTCATGAAATGCCACATCCACCAGATGTTCAATTCCTAGAGCACTACAAGACTTATTGTCTAACTTAATGACTGATCAAAAATAAAGCGCTGATACACTTTGGAAGAACACTTTTTATGTTAAAAAAAAAAAAACTTTATGTTAGCGTATAGAGTGTTATGTTGCTCGCACCAATCAGATCGCCGCATCAGGGTAGGTATCTCGTACAAGTCAGATTGCCGCATTAGGGTATGTAGGGTATGTATTTCATAGTATTTAAATATCCTGCACCAATCACGGCGTTTGAGTATTGTTTTCTTGTAAGTGATGTCATGGATCACCGGGCTATGTACAAAGAATGAAATTAAGTAGAGATTTTGGGCTCATTTGATAAGTGTAATGGTTTGTGACCTTCGCGAGAGCCTCATCGATTAAGGTCGAGATGTATCGGGATATGAAAAGTACACATTTAAATTTTCAAGTTAAAACGTGTCTTTTCCGCTCCTTTACTCACAACGCACGCGCCAAACAACTTACATTCCATCACGTTCCGAGAAAACAACGTCCAAAGTCCAATCAGAACATACCTAACCATTGCACTACATGAACATTAGGTAATTTTTCACGTGCTGGAATTGTCTTCAACCAATCAAATTCCATTTTGCCGCATTGGACTTCCCTCTATCACGTGTCATTTTTTTGTAAACAACCGGTACTTTATTAGGTATTCTAACTGCATTGTCCAACCCCGCTGAAAAAAATTCACATGAAACTAAATACTACTGATATTGAGTTTTCCAAGCAATTCTCCCGCGTTTGACTTTTCTACGAATTAAAAGTCGCTTTAAGCTACCTTGGCCTTAACCCAATTGCGCGTTAATTCCTAGTAAAACAACCTGCTTTTTATCAGGCATTTCACACACAGAGGGCAAAGTCCAGAAAGGCAACAACCAAATAAGGAGCCCTCTCTGAAATATGATCCTTATCTGTTGTTCAGTGTATCTTCACTTATCCGATATCGAAATATATATCTTTGGTTAGGGTCTATTGGAGGTACAACAAAGTTTCGGTTCGCTTTTCGTAGCAAAATTACGCGGAATTATATTTTTGAGGAAACTAACTGTAGAAGAAGAATTTTGACTTTCTCTCTTTTGGAGGAACTGCAGTAAGCGTAGTCTCTTTCGTAACCGTTATTTGGTCTCGTCACGCAACGCGCTCTCTCTCAAACGGGAAATAAAGGGCGTTGTGTGACGAGACCAAACAACGTCTACAAAGGAGAAAGCGGAAAGCGTGGTACCGATGCATTTCATTTTCACTTAGAAGTATTTTGACAGTAGAGAGAGTAGATCACATAATATCTGTGTGAGTTCAGATAAATTTGGTTTCCTCTGTCTTTCTGATATTTTCGTTTTTTGAAAGTTATGCTCTTTTCAGTGACAAAAATGGAATGATTAAGTAAACAAACTGTCCCATCTCAACCCACCCAGCCAAAAATGTAACTCTTGCATGTTACGCATGCCCATATTTGCATATCAGTCTTTACATCGAGATTATTGCCAATAATTTTTACAACTTTGACAACCCTCCAGCATTTTGTCAGTGTAGCCATGTAATCTGCCAGATACCGTGATCAGTTCCTATTATCAGTTTACTACAATCTGTGATCATCGAAAAAAAAAATTGAAGCTTTGTTTAGATAAATTTGATCCTTAAGTCATGTCCTACAAGGAAGTCTTTAAATCCAATGAAAGCAGTCAGCATAAGCTTTTCATTGGGACAAGCAGGAAAAGTTTTTGTGTGTGTGTGTGTGTGTGGTTATCTATGTTACTGCAGAAGGTTTGCAGTTCAAATATCAGATTTTCTGAATTTGCTTCTAGCCGTTGGTTTACTGACCCCTACCAACTTGCACTTTAGTATCAACAAAGGGTTTATATTTTTTGCCGATGCAGAATAATGTATTTTCAAAACACTTTAACCTAGTTTTCCTTCTCAACACTGATTTCCATCAACTATCAGTTCCTTCAGAAACTAAAATTAACTTTCCTTGTCCTCCTACTTTTACCATCTGATGGTAAAACTGAGATTAAAGATTGTGAAATCATTGCAGATATTAATTGTTTTCGTATGCCTCTTTAGCTATGAAAAGAACTTTACTCCTTGTCCACTATCATCTGTAGCATCTGGAGCTTCAAACATTTGAGCTTTTCCTTTGAGTTCCAGTTGACCCAGGGCTTTTTTCAGCATCCACATGTCAATGCCATAGAACTCTTGTGGAAACAAAAAGAAATAATTCAAAATGTAGTTGATGTTGGATCCTCTACAATGCCTCAAACTCCTAATCCAACATTTGTAAAGAAAACAGCCATCAACAAGTAAAAAGTCACCACACCTTCATTTACAGTGTCATCTCCAGCTCTCAACTCAAATAATGTACATACTGTGTCCGTCATTCCATTTTCTTGCACCTAGACAACATAAAAACCTGTTATTTACCAGTTTTGTGAGGACTTCTGGAAAAATTGTGGGAAGTATTTAAGGATTTATACTTTGTGAGACAACAGAAGGTCGGAAGGTCTCATTCATTACCCATTTGAAGATCAAGGCAGCCCATTCATCTGGAGTGCGCCACATGACAAAGCATCTCTGCTTTTTCTTGTCCTCCCATTCAATGTTGCCTGACTCAAAAGGAAAAATAATGTGTCAATATATTGTCCAGAGTAAGAGGTGCTGCTTCCAGTAAGGGTTACTGCTGGGGCTCTAGAACCAGAGGTCTCGATTGGAGTTCTGGGGCCATGCTCTTTGAAGTCACATTTGTTACCGAAACCAAATAGGTGTTTATTGTTTGCTAGGGTAATAAAAACTTTTTTTTTTCCACTTGGGATTATAGCTTGCATTGACCTGATAAAATGCTAAAGAAGAGGAGGGGGACTGGGTTCTACCTTTTGATTGAAGTTCTTCCAAGATAAGATTTATGGTTTCTAGAGATAGTTTACCTGAACAACAGTCAAAGAAGATGATGTGGCAAGGTTTTGTTATGGCCAACTATGGTTCCCATTTTCCTTTTTAATCACAAGATCTTATGCATACTTCTCCCTTTGGAACACTATACATTTGAACTGACTCCCTACTGACCCACTGAGCCAGCCCCTTCTTCAATACCCCATAAGGGTGAGGGGAGGGGGGGGATCTGTTGATGGGGATTAATATTCTGTAGTTGCCCATACATTTTTGTAACTTATTTTTTCCTAATTGGTGCTATATCAATAGGATACCCACTAGAAGTTAATTTTTTTCTACTCTTACCACCTGTTTGCAGTTTAGAAGGCAAATTTTACCTCTCTATACTGCAAGGAGGATTATGCTACATTTTCATCACTTTTGAAAATTTAACCTTTTCATTCCCAAGATCTCATTAGTAATTTGCTTCACGGTCTGCTTTACAATTCTTAAAATGTTAGTTTGGAGATATTGGTATTTGATTTACTGATTATCCCCTAATTTCTATTTTACTATATTCTCATAACTTGTCTGCTTGATATTGTATAGAACATTGTAAGGAGAAATTCTGCATTGGTCACTCATGGGAGTTAAAGGGTTTTAAATCCACCAGGCAGAGGGTCAATATTGATGCATTTAAACAAAGCTTATATAAAAAGGATATGATCAATCTTCTTATTGGAGAATAATTCGCTCGTCTGTGCTTCTGTGACATCGAGAACGTAGCGTTTATGATATTTGTAGAAGGCCAACACAAGATTACACCATCCTTCGATTTGTTTTCTGCGAGTATCCAAATTCGTTTGAAGACTGTCGAGAGATTTCTGTGTTAATACTCTAACATAGGTGAGGTATCTGACGCGGCTATTATCTCTACTTACGTGAAAAAAGGAGGAAAATTATACTGCCACGGCCATTCAAAGGTCTTCGCCATCTTGAATTAGGCCGGGCCGCAAAGCTCCATCGTGTTGAGTAACTAATCTATGTAATTTTCACTGTAATGTCTCCAGGTTGTACGTCGGTGAAGCAGAGGCGCTCGCTTCCGTTTCACCTTGAGGGGGGGGGGGGGGGGGGGGGGGTACGGCTACACGTAGGCTATAGGATCTGAGGTGCCAACTGGCAATTAACCGCGTGTGCGTAATATTGGACTGTGCTAAAGTTTAAGGCAGTCTTTGCCAAGAGAGCTCGAACAGAAAGAGGATAATATTCATGAAATTATTTTGTAGAGATGAATTTTGGGGCAAGCTAATATGGTCGTTGCGTAATACTGTTCTTGATCATTCGCGAGAAACGCCTCAGAATGATTTCAGCCATTATTCGATCCGCCTAGAGCAGTGCAGCTAATAGGTTGAGACTATGGTGAGCCAATCCAATTAACGCGCCTTCACAACATTACATACTGACAATCATTTTTTCAAATCCACTTTAGAGGAGTTATGACGTGCAGCTAGTGTAAAAGTGGTCCAGTACCCTGACCTTTCACGACCAAGTAGTTCAGTTACGGTAAGATCTGCGTACGAATTTAATCCAAAAGCATTAGAGCGTTTCCTGTAATTTCCCCGTCGTCCTAGCCATGTTCCATTTTTCCGTCCCATGTGCGCCTTTTTCAGTTTGTGTTTGACTGTCAGTTTCTTTGGTCCAGGAAGTCCCCCCCTGCCAGCTCATCTCTATTTGCCAAAGTGAATTTGAATTAAAATAGAATTTTCGATTAAATAAAAGTTGTTTATTACAATTTAAGAGTGCTGCGACATAAATCAGTAGTGTGTACAGGAACGAAAACAAAAACAACATAAATGACTAATTAATATTTACTTCCTTTAAAAGAGCGCTATCCAAATACAAGCTTCAGAAAAGGAAAACGAAAGAAAAAAATGAAAAGAAAAGTGAAAGCGTTTACAAAAATTGCGAAAATTATGTCAATATCAACAACTTAAATACAGTGGACATCGACAACCTGACCGAGTAACAGTAACTCATTATTCACTTGAAAATAGGAACTGCTTTGACCACTGTTACATCAAAATCACCTGTCTGTTTTGAAGTGAATATTTCCGCAGACTAGTAACTTCTGAAAATATAAGAGTTAATCCAGTTTTTTTTAAAGTTCGCAATCAGTGTCAACTTGTTGCAGAAA